CATAATGATGGGAATCCAAAATCGTGTGATTGTGACTAACACTATGAATGTGACTGTGTGGGAGGAAATTTACTATGGGACTGAACAAATGTGTGACTGTAACGGTAAGCAAATGTGACTGTATGGGAGGTGACTGTATGGGAGGTCGACTGTATGTTCGTACCAAAGTGGTGGTGATCGTGGGATAATTTATGACACGTGATCGTGAATTGCGTTTATTTAATAACGATAACGTTAATATTAATTAAGCAAAAAAAATTTTATTTTTTTTGTGTCTCTTTTCGTTAGGCTTACCTCACCTTTGGTCTCTGCTGAGTTTACCGTCAACAAAACAGCGATTTCCGATTTGATAAACACCGAGAACGCGATGCCCGCAGTCTTAGAGCAATACTTTACCTGGGAACAGGCACCTGAAACTGCTATTCTGAGGACTAAAAATGTACTTGCTATATTACAGTATTAGAGGTTTGTTCTTTTTTTTGTTGTAGCGGACGGGTCCGAGGATGTTTTTCCTTTGGATGGGGCTGCGGTCTGTGTTCAACTACTGGCTGCGGTCTGTGGTTCCGTCCTACAACCAAAAGAAGTGTTGTTAGTATTAGAAGCATTTGTTCGCGCTTTGTTCTTTTTTTTGATTTGGTTCTTTATCTATTCTTAAAGTGTAATTCATTTTTGTATAGAATTTAAATAGAAGCATATATATATATAAAACTTGCTAATTCTCAATTTGATTAAAAATAGCTTTAAATGATGCTTGTAATATTGCTAGAGCTCATAATAGTTTTATTGCCTCTTCCGATTCATTTAAGGTTTATGATTCTCTAATCCGCATTTACGTGGAGGGGGGAGGGCGGAAAAGTTTTGCGTGTGGCTCGCTAGCTCGAGATTGCAACAGTTTAGCTAAAAGTTGGAATAATCATAAAATGCGCATACTTTCATGACAAATGAAAAAAGAAGTAGAGACAATTCATTATCTCATTATCGAGAAACCTTTTTTTTTTGTAAAGCATAGCATGAAGAGAGGATAGATTTGGAGCAGGGTAGAGAGCAATGTTATTGAGAATGAGGTATGGAAGACTTTTTTGGAGGGAGTTAAGAGTTAGTAAGTTTAGACATTTGATCCATATTGGAGGTTTTAGAGTCAAAACATTGAGCTACTAATTTTGGCAATCCTAATCCTTATGTGACATTCAGTTGAAAAGTCTTAGTCTGAGAACTTGATACCTCAGTAGTGTGGAAATTTCAAAAGAAGGATGTACATAGTATAAGTACATGGGAATTATTATTATTCCAGATGTAAGAATTAATAAGAGTTTGAACTGACTGTTGAATGTTTGCAGGTGGAGGACTAATGGAACTTGATACCAAACTTTAGACAAGATGAGAGATTTTGTAACCAAGATTTCCATGTAAGGCCTTCCTGCTGGCCACTTCTTTATTTTTACCTCTGACTTTGTCATGTTAAAACCAGCTTTAGCGAGGATATTGTACTTGGAAATAAAGTCGTATAAATATCGTAAGTTGGTATCAGGTATATACTGTATCTCATGTATTGTATATATCGGGTAGGTATAGCATAGGAAAAGTTTTATTTCTCCCCTTAGAATTTGGCAGATATATAAAACTAATCAAAAAAGAAAATGAAAGGCTCGAAACTTTCAAACAGGCGCCACAAGTTCTGTCACAAGTACAGTACCTGCAAACAACTAGTGACAAAAATTTCGGCATACTTCGATATAACATGCCATTAACATGAGCGAAATCAATATATTTCTATGCTACATTTTTCGGGACATATTACTGGTGTCAAAAATTCTAGCAATCGAAATCGGCATACTTGTCTTAAACATATGGCGAAATCGATTTGGTAGCATTTTCTGACAACATAATGAATTATACATCGTAACTAGGACGCGACTAAGACGGATTTTTTAGGGCCAACTAGTGACAGCTTGTGCCAAAAATTTGGCAAGATAAGTCGATAACGTGTATATAGCATACTAGACATCGCGTATGTTGCGTGTATAGATAGCATATATTCTGGCTATTTGCTTTCTCGAATAATGACATATGATTAAATGCATCGTTGGTATTTTTTTTTTGACTCCTCTGATCTTTATTTAGCATACAATAAATGCTATCGAATTTGACATCCTAAAAGAACATAAAGAAAGCTAGCTAGATTGTCATAACCTATCTCAGCTATTTTATTGCAATGGAAATCGGTTGGAATGATAAGCCAGCATATGTTATCAAACGACACGTAAAATGTATTCGACCCAGAAAACTCGCGATAAAGACAACTGGTAACATAACCTAAATCAGTTATTTTATTGCAACAGAAATCAGCTAACCAAAGCATCATACAGAGTAGTCGCCCATGGCTCGTCATAATAATAACCTAAATCGGTAATTACCTTCAACGGAAATCAATCGAAATCACCAAAATGATATATTATATATCATATACAAGTTCATAACGAAAATAGTCATGCATGTCTCGAGTAAAAATGAAATGCACGTCACACCTAATTATATTATGGTATAATCTAAGTAGCTTATAATCTTCTAGAAACTATAAACTAATGGCGATGGTGCCAAAATCCTTTCATGAACTTACAGAAGTGTGGCTATTCCAATTTAATTTTATGTATAAACACTAACCAGCTAAATTTCGATTTGTATTTTTTGGGGGTTTTCACTGATCTTGAGTCTACTCAGGAAAAACAATTTCTTTACCTATTAACCTCAGACCACACAAAGAGAAACCGGGCTTTCCCATGAGGAATGATGTGCATCTAAGCATCCAATGAACAAAGGGAAGCTTACTATTACAACATCACTTTACAAACAACTTGACTGGTTCAAAACTGCAGGTTCTAAAGAAGAAAAGAAAACCTCTGAAGGGAATATAAGGTGAGGTCACACTTTTGCAAGTTATATGGCAGTTGTGGCAAGGAGCATGGGGAACTATGGTTCCTGCCCATGTATAGACTATGGTTCCACCTTGTTTGCAACTGGGATTGAAGCAAACCACTAGACTACGGTTTTTGAATGGCGATGGACTATGGTTCTGCCACCATCCTTCATGAAGCTTGGGATGCGCACTTTAATATCATGAGGAATGACGTGCATCTAAACATCCAATGAACAAAGGGAAGCTTACAACATCGCGGACGAGAATTATACAAACGCATGTCTCCCACAAGCAAGGTAATAACTCAAGTTCTCTTTTAATATCAAAAGGTGATACGCAAAAGCTCCGGTATATGTGGTAAGGTAAGCGGTCGTATCCCACAAAATACAACGCGCATATAACACACGTAACCATTTTTGTGTCGCACGGTTTTGATCAAGATGTAATAAGTCGTCATTGGGTACGTAACGGTAAATGCGAGTTCAATATATAAGGGGTAGGTCGATCATGAATTTTGTTAGCTGATGATGCAGAGCGGTTTCTCTGGTTTGTGGCGGAAGTACTGGTGCCCCTCTATCTCCAAAACCAATTCCGTTATATATGCCTACGATCGATCCAGTAAAAATTTTTCCATACTTGCTGTCCTCTTAGACCTATTAATTTTCGTTCACTCTTAACAGACCACACCAATTACCCATTGTTGTATTAATAAATCATCGAGATCTGGTATTGCATCCTTGGACAAATTTGTATTATTAATTGGGTTCTCTGGGCATCTCACCCAATTTAGAATAGGTACGTGGAAATAAAAATACCAGCGCTCGTAAGCTATGCATTACCTCGGCCACATCGTTGTTGAACGAGCAATGGGATCAATTTCGATTCTAGTATCCACTATTCAGGTCATTTTTCTAGATTAATAATTACTACAAAGCCTTTGAACAACAGTTTGGTCCCCATAATTTAATATTGTCCTTTGAAAAAATGAATAAAATTTATTGGTAGAACCGTCTATACTGGTTTTAACCCCCTGAAAATCCTCATGTGCTCCGTATTCATCTCGCTCTCATAAGCTTAGGTGTATCACAAAAATAAGCTTAGCAAAGTCATGCTTTGCAAGCACCCATCCAAAACTTAACAATCGGCAGATCGGTTTCACTAATGTTCAATTGTTTCAGGAAAAGTTTGGCATTGGCTGTCTCATTAATCGTTGTTCCGGATTTCATATATCGAGAGAACTGCTTGGTCTTACTATTCTCCCGACATTTGAAAGAACAGGTGAAGTATTGAATAAGTCATACATGACTGGTGCTTATTGAATAATACAAATGGTGAGACAAACCTTGACCATTCCTCTTTGAACACCATTAATCTCATTTCCACAGATTCTGGCCTTGGGTCTAATTCAAATATTCCCGACAACTGGTCCATAAAAAGTTTTGATGGAATGGATGTCTGCGTACTGTCTTTTGCATTCGAAGACGCCGGTTCGTCCGTCTTCGGCTCATGCTTCCCATGCAATAACTGCATTTTCAACGTTTCATCCGTATTGGACAAAGTGTCTGTCTGCTCCTCTTTTACGACATGTAATATCCATTAAGGAACTAACCATAAATAAAATGCAATAGAAGTTTCAATACGTTCTTGAAGGATATCTAACAAACAGAGTAATGTCTTGTTCGTTTGTTCGAGAATGTCTGTTGATGTAATTAATCCTAACAAATTACATTTTGATATATCTTGGTATGTCTCAGAGTATTCTATTATACGGCAACACTCTGGGGGCACTAAATCCTATTAAGAAGGTAAGTGATAATGCAGCTAAATTAATAAAATTGACGTATTGAATCGCCAAGGGCATACATGTAATAATAGCAATACCTTGACAGTATTTATAAGCTTTTGTAGTATATGCTTATCATAACATCGTATAACGAGTTGATTGCCGATGACAACGTTATACATCATTCGTCTAAAATCTGCTGCTCCCAACATATGTCGTATAGATGCCAAACCGTCTAATTTAAATTCAGTTTCAGCATTCGATACATCTGATGAATAGCCTGTATCCGGTATCTTGTCGGCTATCACTTGTGCCGAATTCAATGACATCATGGATTTGGGGGGTGGTAACTACAACAGTGGAATCAAAAATATAGTCAAACGTCAGTACGTTCGTGCATAAGATACCACATAACTAAAATATTCATACCAATGTCTTGCCATAGGTTTGCCGCTCTTGTAATCGATTCCCGCAAGCCTTCAAAATCCAGCTGAAATTAGCATGCAGTTGAACAAACAAGTCCTGGCGACCGTAATAAATTATACGCGATGACTTCATTTAGACAAACAACAACCGTAATGTGTTACCGGAAAATCAGGTCTCGAGACTCACCTTCGATTCTAACAATTCTGACAATGATCTGAGGCTCCTTTTATAATCTATTAAACGGAAAAAGCGATGTAGCCATGAGACGACGTGTGAAAGTCTTATGGCTAGTAAATTCAGTTGATGACTTTTCCTTATTTGGTCGAGAGAAATTTTTACCAGTTCTGATAGAGGTTGAATCAATGGCTGCCTTCTCCCTCTCGAACACCTGACTCGCCTTGGCTTGAATTCCTGCTGCTAAAACACGGAACCTTCTGTTGAACCAGATGCGCAGCGTAAGCATGCACTGTTTCTCATTCACGTGACAACACTTTGACTAAATTACCTTACGAGAAAGGACCATGATGAAACGAGATATACCCGATCGGTCATCAAGAAGATAAAGCTATATGATCGCTGTAATCCTCTTGCTTGACTATCATCTATTTTGAACATGTAGCTCAGCACATAGCCATCCTTTTCGTCTCCAAACAAGGCTGGGCCCTCATTGCCATGACAGAGTTCACAGCTTATACTGTGGGAGGGATCATATTTACGAAGGAAAGGTGAATACGCTCTATATTCTCTTCGACTATCGCAGCAACCCACATTTATTGAATTACAACAAATCACCTGCGAACACACGCCTGTTTTATCACTTCATATAGTCGCTGATTTTGTGGATATCGAGAACCGATATAGCTTACAAGCGGATTCTCATCATCTATGGTCTTGAATCCTTTAATGTCTGCCTGCCCAGGGCTTCTGTCAATGTCGGAAGGAGTCAAAACAAGCGTGCAAGAGGGACAGGTGGATACGGATGAGGACACGCTTCCTATGGTAGAGAAGGAGCTTCTCCTGATATCTGTGCTGTAATCAGAATTAGTAGGGTAGGATCCTGGGGAAGTCGTTCCACTGCTGACGGAAGAGTAGTCGGTCATATCTTCGGCTGAGTTCGCGTGGAGAGCCTGTGTGCAGAAATTTATACTAGCACCGTCAATCTCACAAAAGCCCACAAGAGCCACTGCCCCATTCATATTTGGCAGTCTATGTGCTTTTCTTTGATCTTAAAGGAGTTTGTTTTTAACTGTTGTCTCTCTTAACGACTAAGCGGTAGGTTAAACGCGGCGTAATAAACTATATTCTCCGATAATTAACATGATTACGTCGATGTATTGAATGCATAAGAATCCCCAATAATGGTAGTCATCCAAGCATTCGGACATTTTTTTAAAAACAATTGTAACACGTGAGTCGGCACATGAACAATGGTATTACTATCGTATATGGACTACTATTACTTATTGTTTGTCTTTATGACGATTTCGCTGTCCATTTCAAATTCAGTCGGCTGACCACGCGATTAATGACGAAAAATGGTACCGAAAATTACCCGTGCCGTGTGAAAGATTTGTTCATGTGATACATATGAAAAATCCCCCAAAATTACGAAGCATACTTACTGTATAGATCTGACATGCGAACATACATTTCCAATGCTCATAAACCAGACAATTAAAAGTTCTATGCTTCAAAATTTTACATTTCTCAGTCGTAACTGTCGTTAACTGTATGCGAAAATTAGTTCAGAATATTAAGCGACTAGTTTATTGACGTCAGTGGGATTCACTTATTTAGATACTTATTTGTAATCAGTATTAGTATATACTATTGGGAATAGCCGTTGTTTTTCATCACATAATAGTTCAAGTAAATTGTGACCCTCTGACACAGAATAATATATTGATGAGGTGGGGTACGTGGTCTACCATCCCTGGGGCTAGCAACATCTTTACTATACCCCACGATTTCCGCATCAACTGGCGTCTCTGAACATGATGATACTGTTCCTCCTGGAGCCACTCCTGGAGATGATGCCATATCCCTCGTAGGTTTGGCCTGTTCATGCAAAATACAGTGAACTCTCCCTAAATGCATGCCTTGGGACCATAAATCCGAGAGCGTGCATTTAGGGAATAATGCATTTAGGGAGAGTAAGTAAATTCACGTGATTCTGATACTTTATTCATTTATTGGTTTGTTGCATCGTATTAGCTTTTTTCTCTCTAATATATCTCTCAAGAATATTCGCCATTTTTATGTGTTCACTTGCATTTTCTTGTTGTAGTAAAGATGCTTGTATGGTTTCCAAACCTTGTAATGCCGTACTGGCACTGATAGCTGCCATTTCAGTGCTGTCATCTACGTCTTCCAAGCTATTACTGCTTTCTGCCATTTTGAATGTATCTACGAGCAGTTATCGTCACTAGTCACTTCATAAACAATGTCTTCCTCAGGAATTGACAAAACTCTTCAACTTCCATTGACTCAGAAAGATGAAATTTTTCAAAGAACTGTATTCTCGCATATCGAATATAACTTGACACTGGAAAATAGTTTGCTCGCGTAAAGTGGAATTATCCGTTACATTTATGATCTGATAATTTCGTTATTGTCTTCTGACCTGGGAATGGTAAAGCTGAATTTTCATTGGTGATGGTATTGACTGACTATACCATATTTAGCGTCTGGGACACGTGCGTGAATTTATGGAGATCATTTTCATATAGCCGGGACCGCAATATCTATTGCACGTGCAGAATATAGAGAGTCTGCATTTAGCATTAAGTCCCGAGGTTGGGACCATCAAATAGCGTGCATTTAGGGAGACTGTGCATTTAGGGAGAGTGCATTTAGGGAGAGTTTACTGTAAAATTTTGTGAGTAGGTCACAGTAGTAAATTCTTCATCATGCCCTAACGCTAACCTTGATCTTGTTGGAAAACCGACTGCGTAACATTGGTAGTATGCTCTTCCTAAGACCATAGAAAGAAACGAAGTCGTTTTAATTTTTCATAATGTCATAATATCGTGACACACTTAATGGTCATACCATCACAACTCTACGTCTAGCCATAGCCGCCATTCTCTGATCTTCTGCAGACGCGATATTCTCCCAAAACTCGGTAATTGACTGTGATTTCTTTTCTTCCTAAAAGGAAAATGTTCAGATCAGTAAGTAACTAAATTAAACTACCGGAGCCACAGCTCATGCACACCCGACCAGCCAGGAGTGTTGGTGGTTTTTATATAAAGTGCTTCTAATACTAATACTAATAAAACTCTTCTTCTGGTTCTAGGACGGAACCACCGACCGCAGCCAGTAGTTGAACACAGACTGCAGCCCCATCCAATATCAACATTCTTGGATATCCCACCTCAGATATATTAGTATTAGTATCCCAAAAAGTTTGGGTTCCAACATGGGGATATAACTGAGGTAGAACTATATACAAACTTTTACTTTCATGTGTTAGCTATTAGCAATAAGGAGATGTGTCTAATTGTTATGTGTGACTGGATTCTGGCAAATATTAAGTAAAATACAACTACATAAATTTAAATTTTAAAAACTTATATATTTTAAATTATATTTTAACCAAAATTTCAGAAATTTTGCATTTAAATATTTTATAATGTGAGAAATCTTTTTACTTAAGGATACAAAGAATAGTTAATATGACTTTTTTAAGTTGCATTATAACAATAAATTCTTTAAAATTTTTGTCCTCAACATAAGCAAGAATTTAATATTGTGAACAAGTTTACTTAGTACATGATAGCCAGCTGTCTTAGTAACAATTTACTTTTTATTATTATATGAACAACTTTAACATTTGATCAACTAAATTTAAATTGGCAGGGTACTGTATGTACATAGATATAGTGAATAAATTTACTTATTATTATTGCACCAAGCCATGTGTATTAGTATTAGTACGTGTTGAAACATTTAGTTTACATATGGGCAACTTTTAACATCTAATCCCTGTGGCTTTTGATGAATTGTGAGGCAATATTTCCGTGGAGGCAGTCTTGAAGATAGTTGTGTCAATGCAGAATACGGCTCGATTAAGGAATGGAGACCCGCCATTATTTTCGCCCGTTTTGGCCATTGATAATGCATTTCCTAATTCAGTAGAGGCGGGCATCGCAAGTGAAAACTACAGTAAGTGGTGCATGTAAGTGTCTTTAAAATTAGAGAGACATCAATTGTACGCAGAGCACCACGACCTACGCAACATGAATTCAAACAGTCTTTAATGACCGTGACAAGAGGTTACTTATGGAATTTGTTTGAGGCATTACCCACAGTATGTCACTTTAGCATTGCATTTTTCTTTTTTAAATAAAACATTTGTTATGTGAATTTAAATTGTCATAAACAATGGGTCTCGATTCCCATCAATGTGTACTGATCTCTGTAGTAGTGATCATACAGCTATGGCATTTCCGGAAGATGGCCGTTTGCATGCAAACAAAATTGAGTTTGAATTAGTAGAATGGTCGAACATGTGAAACAATAAATTAATGGACAAATTTACTTATTGCGACCGAAATGCATATTTGTGCCAATACGCGTTTTATCTGGATATTTTCGGACTCTGTTCATAAACAGTATTATGTCTTTATAGATAAAATTTTAAGGTGCTCTTATATAACTCTACATATTTTTTGCTTCTTCACAGAGACCTGTAGCTTTTTAACTCTCCAAGACATCAGATTAAGAATACTGCTATCATTTTGATATGATACAAATCTCATCGCGCCGTTTTTTTCCCGTGACATTTGTTAAAATATCGCGCTATATCACAACCATACGATTGAAAGATTACTTTTGTTACGACGTGCTGCTAAATCTGATAGTAAAGCTTCCTCCATAGTCAAGCAACACACAATACGTTACTCATTGTCTGCGACAACTGAAAAATATATAACTCATATCTCATAGCATGTTTGATACAAGTTTGATAAGTAATATTGAAATAAATATTATCCACGATTCTTTATAACCGTAATTAAACGATTGCTCTTCGAAAATTTTTATTCTTTCGTCTATAACATAATTATGTGACCTGGATAATACCCAGGCGGCTCACTTAAGCTGCTGGTTAATTAAACTGTAAAATTATCCGTTGAGCAATTAAATATTGAAAATAATATTGTTTAGAACAGATAAGTGACGAAATCATATTGATACTATAATAAAGCGTAACGGTCGGCGATTATTAGGGTTAGGGTGTCTGAGAGAGCGATTAAATCTATCGCATTCGGCCGACGGGGAATCGTACCTTACTTAGCCTTATTGCAGTAATTGTTCAATTACGGCTGAATGCTAAGCATTACATTTAATTATGCGTGCTCATCCCACTCCTTATATGATGTATCTCTCCCGCGCTCATATCCAAATAAGGGGTTACCCTATAATTAGAATAACAACAATTATTCTATCGTAGAATTGAAGTTTTCTATAAAACGATAATTGTTCAAACACGTTAATACATATTATTATGTTAATTAGTATAGATAAAATCAAATTGCAGCACTATTTTTAAATAAAAGATAATTGTCTTTAGCTGTAAAACCGCGAATTCCGGAATCTTTGGGTAAACTAGTCTTGTCCATCAATTCTCGTCATTGCTTACACAGTAGATACGGGCCAGAGACTAAAAAATAATGGGTTCGACCGAAAAAGGAAGGTGCCTATTCAAAACGTTTGAAAAAGTCAAAAATATTTTGACCATGCATTCTGTGTAAGACAAACCTCTCCTGCTACAATAACAAATAATACACAAGGCAAAGCTCAGTACTGCAGCATTAATGCTACTGCTCATTATAGTTATGATTGAGCTCAAAATGTGCATGTGCCTCACTCAGATCAACAGACAGGTAAGATTTATTATCTTAGTTGTCGCAAAGTACATTTATTTGGTATTCAAAATGAAGCAACCAGAGAACAACTTAATTATGTTTTGGATGAAAATGCAATAATTGGCAAAGGTCCTAATGGCACACTCAGTCTAATTTTTGACGGCATTAAAAAATTGAATAAAGGTGAAAAGCATTTGAAAATTACTTGTGATAATGCTGGTGGACAGAATAAAAATAATACTACTATTTGATTTTATTTGTATTTAGTAATTTGTGATTATTATGAAAGTATTGAGTTAAATTTCATGATTCCTGGACACACTAAATTTAAATGTGATGGCAGTTTTGGTTTGATTAAAAAACTTTACAGAAAAACCACAGTAGATTGTGTAAATCATATTGTTGAAGTGGTGAAAAAATCCAGTTTAACAGGATTGAACAAAGCTCAGTGTTATGAAAATGGTAAAGGTTTTCAATACTTGGATCTTAATTTGGTTTTAAATATTTTCTTTAAAAAATTAAATGGTTTGCAAAAAATACCAGCATTTTTTCTTTGAAGCAGCTAATCCTGGAATTATTAAAACACAGACAGTAGCTAATGGACCTTTTACTGAATTTAATTTGTTAAAAGTCAAAAACACAAGTGTTTCTGAAATTATTAAAGAAATTAAATCCTTTTCAATTTTAGTATTAAACCCACCTTCTTTGGAATACAAAAGACAAGAATATCTTTGTTCTGACCCAAATCGAAATCTGACCCAATTCGGAATAGGGTCGACCCAAATCGCGATCGCGTTTCGGGTTGGCC